ACTTTCGATATGCAATAATTAAGGGGGTCTTATTGGAACAGCAAGTAAGGGGAGGGGGGGAGGGTCGTACCGAGCTTTCGTGTGCCACACCCATTGCTTGACCCTGGTCGTAATGCAAAACGTTATCTGCCCACATGTGTGAAAAATCAATCATACACCACGGCAATATCTTTTTTTGCTGTGGTGTATGATGCTGCCGGTCTTGCTAAAAAATTCCAAATAGCGCCCATAGCGTCTCCTTTGACCTAAGAAGACACAATAGCTTCGAAATCTGCTTCCGATGCATTTTGCATCCTGCATCGTTGCGATTTACGTTTCCTGAACTTTAGAGAAGCTTGAATCTAGGTTTTCAACTAGACACCGAAGCGAGAATGGCCACAATAGGACAAAAAGATTTGGGAACGACGGTTGTTATTACTGTAACATGGCATGAAATAGACTGAAATTGGAATTTCTGCGGTACTTTTGAATTTTTGTGGACCACACTTGAACAAACTAGCAGCTTCCAAGCCGCTCACTCTCATTCCTAAGGACTTCTCCTTTATGCACTTGGAAGTAAAGCCTGTCTTTCCAAGCCAACTTCATTTCACTAAAAAGGAGGCCTGGTGAGAGCCTGGGACGAACTCCACCGAAAATAGCGCGCATCAAAAAAGATTCGGAGGAGAATAAATGCTTTTACCGAAGCCACGGGCGTTCTACACCTTGGTAACAACCAGAAAGATTTTGTACAGAAATTTCTTGTCTTCAGATGAAGACAAAACCTTGCGACTTCATTCAATCCCTGGAAATATGGAAATTTTTGCGTAACACTTTATATGGACCACCCGATATACTACGAACCTAGATTAGGGGCATTGCGCCCTTCAACCTACTCACAGTTTCAATGCAGTTACAAAGCATGACTATGGTTTCTGCTTCTTCTTGCAATACCATTTGCCAAAATTCATTGACAGTACCTTCTAATGGACCCTGAATTTGCGATCTAATCAATGGAATTACCTTCGCATGTACATGTCATACTTGCGTGAGAATGAATCGTTTAACGGATACAGGAGTTCCAACATAGTTGGCATGAATATAATCGGTCACGGCACAATGCCATTTTAGTATGATGCGATTCTGATCCTGACATGGCACGTCTTGATACCTAGATTGTCGCAAATTATGCAAGGAACTTGTAAGAAGTTGTAGGAGACTAGCTGGCATACCCGGCTTCGCCCGGTCCAGT